TGTGAGATATTAGTACAATATGTGTATGTGTGTGTGTGCGACAAGTTAGTACAGTGTATGTGTGCGACAAAGATAAAATGTGTGTGTGTGTGCGACATGTTAGTACATTGTATGTGTGCGACAAAGATAAAATGTGTGTGCGTGTGCGACATGTTAGTACATTGTATGCGTGCGACAAAGATAAAATGTGTGTGCGTGTGCGACATGTTAGTACAGTGTATGTGTGCGACAAAGATAAAGTGTGTGTGTGTGTGACAAAGATAAAATGTGTGTGCGTGTGTGAGATATTAGTACAGTGTGTGTATGTGTGTGTGCGACAAGTTAGTACAGTGTATGTATGCAAAAAAGATAAAATGTGTGTGCGTGTGCGACATGTTAGTACAGTGTGTGTGCGACAAAGATAAAATGTGTGTGTGTGTGACAAAGATAAAATGTGTGTGCGTGTGCGAGATGTTAGTACAGTGTGTGTATGTGTGTGTGTGCGACAAGTTAGTACAGTGTATGTGTGCGACAAAGATAAAATTTGGATGCGTGTGTGACATTTTAGAAGTGTCTATACGCAATATGAGTATTTTTTGAGTGTGCATGAGTTTTTTGTAGTGTGTGAGAGACAAACCATAGATTTTGTCCTAAACGGCCCCTCATAGTTGGCTATGATTTTGTGTTCATGGCTGAACAGTTGAAATTCATCAAACTTTGAACTTAGTTTGGATATGTTTACATTTTAACCACTATATTGTGTTACATAATTAAACATGTCTGTTCCGGACACATTGCATCGATATCTTTACTTACCGACTTTAATGAGTTCCTCCACAGGCCCAGTTCCCAAACACAGGTGGAAGACTGACAGACATATCAGGAAGGACAATGGCAGAGACATATTTGCTTTCCAAACAACTTGTCAGCTACAGACGTTCCCAAGCAAGATATTGAAAAGTCCAGGTCTATTTTATAGGAACAAAACATAAAAAGAGAAACTATTAAATACAACAGAACAGAAGAAAAATAGTTAAATATTGATTACTAACTGTAAAAACTCCACCACCAACCTTATAGAAGTCGCTTCAGCTGGGGGGAAATGGAGCAGAGGAAGAGGGAAACAGCTTCTGTGTTCTCTGAGTGAATGTGTGTTTGTGTGTGTCAGCATTCAGGCTTTTATGTTCAACCAGTCAGTGAAGACCAAACCCACATACTGCATATGAAGGTATGTTCAACCAGTCAGTGAAGACCACATCAATCTACTGCCTGGGAGTGACGCCATGCATGCTTCTAAGCCATCAGCAGCCTTGGTGAAGAGTGGCAGTCTGATGATGTCTCCCTGCGCGGTTATTCATGAAACTTCATGTTGAATGTGTGGGCATGTCATCTGTTAGTGCCACGTATGTGGGGGTGTGCCTACAATTAGCTTTTTTATTGTTGAGCAAAACCCTGTTGCTCTACACAGTGAGTCAATGGAGAAAAAAATATTTGCATAACAGAACTTAGTTTTTACCTATCAAATGGTGGATTGGTGTACCGTCTGAGTGATGTGAAAGCTACCAGTCTGTTGTTGTAGAGAAAAAGCTCCCTGCAAAAATATAAAATTTTACCTAGTATTTTGGTCTAGTTTCTAGTGCAAATATCTTAGCACACTTGAAGTAAAACAAAACTAACTTAAAAGTAACTTTTTAGCAAGATACAGAGGCTTGTTTTTTTCTTCCTAATAATAATAATTCATTAATATTGACGAAAAAGTGCTTGTTCCATTGGCATATCATTTTACTTATAACAAGAAATTTTTCCCATGTTATAAGCAATGGATACTGTCCGAAAGCACAAGGTCATGGAGACAAGCGGCAAAAACACGTTTCTTGTGTGTAGGAATCGTTGCTTGTCTCCATGACTATGTGCTTACAGGTGTGGCCAATGACTTTTTAATTTCAATCATTCTTTAAAAAAACTTGCTTCATGACTGATAGTGAACCATTATTTTCTTCTTAGTGTTTTATGTTGATCACAGTTTGCTACCATCTATTTGCTTTATGAAAATTGACTACAGGTTGTCAATTAGTTCAAGAGGGATCTAAAATTTAGTAATCCTGTAAGATAGGATATTCATGCATTTTCTTTTCTGGTCAATAGATTTCCTAGATGTACCCAAGAAATCTGAACCGGAAATTTTAGACAAAATATAAATTTATTAACTCTAAAGAGCAAACAAATTTGTCTTAACTTCTCTCTAGGACAAAGTAATGGACATTTTCTACTCTACTGACAGTGCAAACAGGCACGTGCAGAAGGGAAGGGGGGCTTATGCACCTGCCCCTTTTGCTCCTTGCCCCCAAGTGCCCTTTTGGTCAATTTTTTTTTTTCTTTGGATATTATTATTTCCTAAGCCCTCTTCTGACACATAAAAACATGTACTAAAATTATTTGCTTTTTTGTTTCTTTTTTGTACAACATAATAAGCCCTCCGGTCAGCTTGTTACCTTTGTCCTTTTTCCCGTGACGCACACAAAATTGCCTCTCGCACAATGAGATAGCGTAGCGAACGTTCCAGATTACAGAACAGGTTTTGGTGAATTAAAAAAAAAAAAAATAAATAAAAAATAAAAAAATAAAAAAACGTTTTATTTTGGTGAATAAAGTGGAGTAGACTTGCTACTTGTCAGATGACGGAAATCCACGTTGAACATTGTATCGTTTCTGCTTCAGTAAGGAGTCGCGGTTTAAGCAGAGAGGTAATGAAATACAACAGACACTGTCAGGCCTCTGCGTCTGCTTTTCGCTGAGGAAAACTGAGGGTAGGAGACAGCCAGGTGAGGAAAAACTGTTCTTATCTATCGATTCAGTATTTTTATCATTCAG